GTGTTGGGTTGACGGTTGGACTCGATGATCTTAGAGGTCTTTTCCAACCTCTATGATTCTATGATTCTATGATTCTATGATTCTATAGTTTACCTACTCTCATGTTTTTCAGTAATACTAACTAGAGGAGTTAACAGTGTAACTGTGTTACAAAAGCCACTTCTAGGTACTGTGTAGATGCAGTTGCTAAGTGTCCTTTTAAAGACGCCTACCCCATGACATAGGTAAGCAAAAGTTAATCATGTAAAAATTAAGCTAGAAACTATTAGCAAAACAACGACCACATTGTCTAACTGAAAACAAATCTTTTTGTTTCAGATTTTCTCCCCTTTGTGTGTGATGGCTGTTCAGGTATCTTTTGGTGAGTTCATAGAATCACAGAGTATCTCAAGTTGGAAGGGACTCGTAAGGATCATCAAGTTCAATTCCCTGTTCCTCACAGGACTACCTAAAACTAAACCATATGACTAAGAGCGTCGTCCAGACGCTCCTTGAACTCTGACAGGCTTGGTGCTGTGACCGCTTCCCTGGGGAGCCTGTTCCAGTGACCGACCACCCTCTCAGGGAAGAACCTTTTCCTAATGTCCAATCTGAACTTCCCCTGATGCGGCGTCATTCCATTTCCTTGTGTCCTACCTCTGGTCACCAGAGAGAGGAGATCAGCAGCTCCTCCTCTGCTGCCCCCCCTTGAGGAAGTTGTAGATGGCGATGAGGTCACCACCCCTCAGCCTCCTCTTCTCCAAGCTGAACAAAACAAACCAAGTGACCTCAGCTGCTCCTCCTAAGTCTTGCCCTCGAGGCCTTGCACCATCTTGGTCACCCTCCTCTGGACACACTCTCATAGTCTGATGTCCTTCTTATATTGAGGCGCCCAAAACTGCACACAGTACTCGAGGTGGGGCCGCACCAGTGCAGTGTAGGGTGGGACAATCATCTCCCTCGACTGGCTGGCTATGCTGTGCTCCGTGCACCCCAGGACACGGTTGGCCCTTTTGGCTGCCAGGGCACACTGTTGACTCATATTCAACTTGCCATCAACCCAAACCCCCAGATCTCTTTCCGTGGGGGTGCTCTCCAGCCTCTCGTCCCCCCATTTGTACGTATAACCAGGATTACCCCATTGCAGGTGGAGAATCCGGCACTTGCTCTTGTTAAATTTCATACGGTTGGTGATTGCCCA